AGGAAGATTCAATTGGTAGTATGTGCTAGCAGCAAACACTAGCTGGCAAGGCTTTCCATCGTCTTTTTTTCCAAGGTTCTTTAGAAACAAGCGAAAGCATTTATCACCTTAGCCAGTACCAGTTTACCATCGAAAGAAGTGGTCAATTCATAGAGGGGACCTCGGTCTTCTGTAGAATGATAATACTATTTCCTGTTGGTCTTGCCTGTGCAGTTCACTAAATGTACTTGATTTCTAAGAAGGAAAGCTTGATGCACCAATGTTGTTTTTTTTCCAATACTCTTTGTGGAAGTGGGCAAAATTTGAAATTTGTAAGACGTGCATTAGGCGATCTTGAGAAACAGAAGCGAGCCCGAACTGGTCAAACTGTTTAACCTTTGGCGCCAACAGTCTGACCAAATGGTAATTGTAGGGGGAAACAGCAGCAGCAGAAAACGTTGGCGAGGAGGATGGCGATATCGAGTTATTTTTCAATAGAGGCACTGAAAGTCTGGCGAGGCAAATCGAAGACATTCCGCCGCTAGACAATGAGTTCGTTTGTCTATGCTTAGTTTATTTAGTTGCGATTAATTCTTTCTTTTTTTTTTATTCTATTCTGAGGCGGCACAAACACTGTCTGAAGGGCGTCTTTTCTTGCTCTTGTCTCTCTCCTTGCTCAGAAGTTGCCGGAAGGCAAGCACGAAAGCTCAATGACGTCCCAGAAGGAAAGGAGGTTGGCTTCAGAAAACACCGAAATTGTTCGTGGTTGGCAGAAAAAGCTGAGAAACTGTGATGGAAACAGAACTGAAGAAGAATCAGGAAACTTAAATTTCTGCGGAGAAGAGAGAGCTGTAAACTTTCGCTGACTGGCGCTGTTTGGAACGTTAATTTTAAGCCACACAAAGCTGGATGGGCTGGACTAAAGTTGTGACGAGCCCCACTGTATGGGAGTTGCAGATGTTCCTGCTTGTATTTATGTGTTTTGTGCTGCAACAGCTGCAAAAAAAGCATATTGTCGAGATCTTGTCTGCGTGAGCATGTGTGTGTGTGTGTGTGTGTGTTTGTATGTATATTTCTATTTCTGTGTGTTCCGAGTGCTTTTTATTATCGGGGGTTTCACCTAGGGGATCAGAGAAGCTGGAAAGTTGAAATTTTAGCAGAATGTTCCTCGCCTAGGTCTGACCGCTCAAATTTAAATTCAGCCTTCGTGTGCCTCCGAATATCGCATGCGACCTAGCGAAAGCTTTGGCGGGGAGAATTATTATTTCAGGAATCACGAAAGCTGGAAAGCTGAGGTTTTAGTAGAATATTCTGCGTCCAAATGCGACCTCTCAAATTCAAATTTAACCGTCACGTAACCCCGGGTACCAAGTACAGCCCCACGAAAGTTTTGACGGGGAAAATCATTTCGGGAACCAGGAAAGTTGGGAAGCTGAAGTGTTGAGATATTGTCTCCTGCCCCTTACGACCCAGCAGGTTTAAACTAAGCCCTTTCCTGCGTCCGCGTATGGCGTACGGCCTCGTGAAATTTTTTTCGAGGAGAATTACTGTTTCGGGAAACAGGAAAACTAGGAGGCTCAAATTTTAGAGTGACGTCCCCTGCCCACGTACAGCCTCTCAAATTCAAATTCAGCCTTCACGTAAGCTTGGATCTCACGTACGACTACGTGAAAGTTGTGGCGGAAGAAATTATCTCGGGAGCGAGAAGAGCTAGGAGACTTAAAACTTCAAGAGGATATTTCCTGCTTAGGCAGGGGCCTAACAAACTCAAACCTAGCTACAAAGAATGATGAGGTCTTACGCACGAGTTTTGGCGCGATAGTTACTCGGAAGCTAAAGAACTGGAATGTTAAAATTTTGGGACAGTGTCCACCGTCCAGGGTCTTAAATTCAGCTTTCTCGTGCCAGTACGTGAAATTTTTAGTGGGAAATTTCTCAGCTTAGAGACCATATATCGTGTCAATTATTTTTTCAAAGGCCAAAGTGCAAAAAAGTGAAAATCCTTAGGAGGCGAGCGTCCGCTGTTCAAAACTGTTCGCACCGGCTGCTGTGGCGCGCACCGCTATTTAAATATTGCACACTGTTTTTTCCAGGGGACTGTGCATGATCACTGATGGATTAGTGTATCAGCAGAAGTTTATTACCGCAGTGGCAGATGTCCCCATAAGCCTGCTTATACGAGAGAACGAGTTAGCGTTTTTACTTTCAATTGAATTCGATTTTTTTTTCACTCTTTTTCTTTTGCGCTGTTTTTCGAGCTACTAAGGTTCCGGATAAATTTCTCGCGTGTTTGTGACTCATGTGGTGCATATTGTTGCAGTAAATATTCACATTATGAGTGCTCTCTGTATGTTTTTTAGCTACTTAGCTTGCTCGCTCGCATTACTTGCTTTTTTACCTCAATTCAAGTTTTGACCCTCAACTTTGAACAACTGGTTTTCTCATATCCTGAACCTAATTATTTGTAATGTTATTTTGAAGTGCCTTGTATACCCTGATTATGTCCGTCGTGAATTGCTCCAACTTTCATTGGTTCAGCTCTTATAAGTTTGGTGCCTGCCTGCAGGAGAATTGATTTGGACCCTTCACGCTGGTATTTTTACGGTTCCTTTAAATGCCTCTTTCCTTTGTTGGGTTGGTGCTTCGCATCACTTATGGTGCGTTCCAAGTATTTTTACGCGGTTTCTTTTCCGAAATTTTTACAATGCAGAAACGCTTATTGTCACTTGCTGCTCAAATTTCTCGATTTATGCCGTCCTTAGGTGGCACTCCATAAACAGTTTTCAAGCAATGATCTGAAGTGTTTAATGGTTTTGTTCACAACGGATTTTATAATTTGTAACAGAAAATTGCATTTTTTAGACTCGATGCATCAGTACCTGTATGTACTTTCGTTCCCAGAATCAATTTATACGGCGCTGCTGCGTGTCTCAGTTTTCTGGTCGATCTGTGGATTGTTCCAGTGTCAGATATCAGTGCGGATAATCTTGGTAACTTATCAGAACTGAATATTTTTTTGGAAGAAATTTCAAATAATTTCAGGCATTTCATCAGTGTTAATTTGTTTAGCCGTTTTCACACCGGCATAGTGCTGCTGTCGCTTTTTACTAGGTCTCGTTTCGAAAGCTGTGTTAGTAACATAATGACGTGCGAAAAACTCAACTATCTTTTAATGTGTTTCACTTTTTAGCTTTGGAGCAGATACTTTTTATTAAAAAATTCTGCCGTGAAGAAGTTGCCTGTAAATGAAGCGTTATGGCGAGTGCTTTTAGTTTTTCCTTTAATAATACCATGTTGTTGTTATTGTTTTTCTTGTACTGAACAACATTCAAGACATTCTTTTTTCATCATTATGTTGCTATCATTTGCGTTTTTCCCAGGAAACCTAGATTTGGAGTAGTTTCATGTGATGTCTGTCAAATTCAGCGTCTTTCGGGGCCCTGTGAAAACTGCAAGTGGAACTACAGTTGTACGTAAAAGCATGCATATACGTGGGTGTTTATTGTTGAGCAGGGTTTCCGGATGAAGAATTCGTGCTATCATACTTTTACCAGTCTAAGATTGTTTTGCTGTCTTTTTCATTCACATTCTTGAAATAGCAGTTTTCAAGATTCTGACTACTCGCGCGTCTGCAACCATCACTTTATTAGCCAGAACACAGTAGAGTTAAAGGCGTCTGCTACTTTTTATTCAGGTCAATGGAATACGAGAGAGGGACGTCGTATGAGTGTCAAGAAGTTTTACCAGAGGGCGAAAGTTGGCGAAGGAAGCGACGAAAAGGAGCGCGAGTACTGTGTGGTGCGACGGCGTTATCTTCATCCGCATTGCTTCCCGAATAATTCAATACGGAAAGTTATCTGGCTAGTCAAGAAAGACGAAGTTTATTGCCGGTGATTTTTATTTGATTCGCCTTCGGCAATTGCCGCAAATGATGCGCCACGCTGACATGTTCGTGCACTGCTGTCGACTGTTTGATGAAAAGTGAGATTAGGAGGGTTTTCCGTCTAGTGTTGCTTGGATGTGACTGGGATATAATGAACATAATATATGAAAGTGCTTCAACACTTCGATTTTTTAAATATTGCGTCGGTTCCCCTCAATTCGGTTGTTGGAGCACTCGTGGTAGTAACGACAGAAGTCAGTGTGTCTGGCTTGAAACGTCGCGATCTTTTAACTGATTTCACTAGTAATATCCGGTTTGTTGATTTGAGGCTAGTTGTTAGGCTGTTTCGTAAGCATCCGACTTTTAAATGGCTTGCAACATTACTTAGCGTCCAAATTTGCTACGATTAAGGTATGAAGCAAAATACACTTTTCAGTTATGCCGTGATATCGTATTATATTGAAGCCGATGCGCATGTCATATCATTATTGCGTGGCAATATACATGATAATCAGGACGGTAGAGCTTCTGATGGTGCGAGGGAAAAGCATGGAATAGGTCTAAAGTCGACGTGTGGGGCGCATATCGATGATGGTTTGAGTACGTCGAGAAGTTGCGCTTTGTCGGAAGAGACAGTTCATGAGCTTGACAATGAGGTTTACTGACAAATCAATCTGTTTTTGATCATTTTTTCTTTTTGATAGTGCCTTTTAATCGAGGCAGTAGTTGCGCTCGTCATGTGGTATCCATAATCAGGCGACCATTTACTGCTGAAGGACACGGTGGCCCGTTCTGGCGAAAACATCAGTAGGCTGCACACAGTTCTGGGCAAAATAAACAAGCAAATTAAGTTAAAATATCGAAGCATTTTTCATAAGAGACATTGGCACTAGAACTGCATCTTTTCCAGCGGATTAGCCTTATAACACTGTTTCGTTCACCAGCATTTGTTCGTTTCTGCTACGAACATAGTGACCGATCATAACGTTAAGGAACGGAGATTTTTCACAACTTTGTTAAAGCTGCCTCATATTTTTGCTGTTTTTATTTTTCTTTTTTTTCGGTGCTTTTAGTAAATACGCGAGGCTTGCAACTGGAGCTGCCTTACCCAGTTACTCTGTGGTACTTCAGGACTACGTTCAAATGCCCGACGGTGTGAGGGAAAGGAGGATATTAAGGAAGAATTCGCCGGTTTTACTTATTCCAAAGTTGCAGAGTTCGTTAGTGTGGAAATCAAAAAAAGAAAAAAGTCGTTAATGCGACGCACAAAATTACAAGCCACGGAAAATTAGCCGAAAGGACTTAAAGTTTGCGAGAAAAAATGAATTATTTTTCAAAAAACAGCAATCTTTTGGGAATGGTTGCTGTCGGGTCATCTTTTCAAAGGATGAAGCTGAACCAGAAACAGTCTCTGGTGTGCCCGATGATCATCGGCCTGTGCCTCACTTTTTTTACTTGTAAAACAGGTATGAATGGTTCAACTCATTATGTAGTGTTACTGTTTCCATTGTTTTAGGAAGTTCTGGAGACTGTGGATAGCACTGATGAAAATTCATTGATAGACGTGGATGATGTGGCGGATTCACAAGCACTCAACCCCACTGTCCCGGAGTTTGATGTCTCCGATGGGTGCGCTTAAATAATTTCTTAACTTTGGGTTTATTTTTAGTTAATTATAAACAGAATTCAGATAAGTCAGTCCTACTCAAAATGAAACAGCTAAAGACCAATTGCACTGTGCTGTTATACGTTCTGTGAAATGTCATTAGCTTTATTACATAAACGAAATGACAACTGCTAAACTTGTCTCAGCTCGGTCCAGGTCGATGCGTAAATTACGGTTTTGATAACATGCCGCTCAGACTGTGGGCGGAATTGAGTTGGAATTTCAACTTCAGTTTGAGTAGCGGGTTGGGGGCAGACGCGGGTGGAAGAACCGATAATGCTGATCTAAGCAGCAGTGGACAGTAACTGAGGGAAAGAGATTTAAATAGTGGAAAGAAGCTGAAGTCCTGCTTGGAAATGGAAGCTTGAAACAAGGACCGGGTTGTTTTGAGGTGGGGCGAGAAGGGG